CCAATTCTTTTCAGCTTCGTTCACTGCAGCACACTTCTTTCTCTTGGGTTGTTTCTACTCCCTGTTAGCAGCTCGCCTCGGCAGTTATTCCTTGACTCTGGCATCTCTGACATCTTGGGTAATCACAAAATTCCAATCATCCAGTATCTGGGATCTATCACAATCTTCTGACTCCTCCAAAGGGCTTGTGTCACTTCTCTGTCTCTGCCCCCTTAGGATACACAGCTCATCTTCTAGGCTCCCACTGGCTCCATTCCACTACCACTACTGTTCTTGGTGGTCATCCCATGGTACTGAAATCTCCAAAACAATGGGGTCTTCTGCAATAGGAGTTCATTTTCACTAATAGCCTATCATAGGTTCTTCTCATGGTGCCAAGCCTCAGCTTCTTTGTATGACCCTGGAAGTCCTAGGCCTTTAACTGCCACTGAGCCTGCACTGTCAACAATGGCCTTTCCTGGCCTCTCACAATTCCAAACCTCAACTGCTCTCCATGACCCCTTCATGCCTTCAAAACCAGTACCACCTGGGTGACACTTACACATTACCAAGTCCAGCTGCCAGCATGAGGTACAACATTGGTCACCTCTGGAACACAGCTTCTCTGTGCTCCCAGGAAACACTTCCCAGAAAATTGTACCTCAGTGATATTGGTGTCTTCTTAATCACCACTAATGTCTTAGTTCCAGGCAACTACTGTCAACTATCCCAGCAAAGCAAAATTTTGCTTTTATAGTTCTGGTATCTTGTTAATCACAGCTGATTCTTTAGCCCCAGCTAATCAGAAACACAGAATCTTAACTCCTTTCATCTATCCTTAATTCTGAAGCCAGAACCACGTGGCCAAAGCTGTCAAGTTCTGCTGCTTGCTGGGACTGGAACATGACCCCCTTGTTTAATAACATCTTCACCAGCATTTGGACTTTCACTGCCTAAGTTTGGTTTTCCTGAAATTTGGTCTGTAGAATAGACTGACCTGAACTTACAGAGATCTGTCTGCCTTTGCTGGCCTCTTCCTCTGGAGTGCTAGGATTAAAGGCATGTGTCACCATCACCTGAGGTCGCCACCCCCTTTATTTCACTTCTCAATCCATTTATCTCTTTGAACAGAGGATTTAGATCCATTCCATTTTCTGACACCCTTTCTTTCCTCAAATATTTTTCCTTGTTCCACTTGCTCCTTTCATTATAAATTTTCATTAGATTTACCACTAATACACAAATGACAGAGACTATACTAGGCTGTTTTGAGATTTCTTCTACAAAAGGTATTTGTGGTGATATTTTATTTTTGCTCTAACAAATAAAGCTTGCCTGGGGATCTGAGGACAAAGCCAGCCACTATATTAAACATAGAGGTCAGGCAGTGGTAGCACATGCCTTTAATCCTAGAATTCAGGAGGCAGAGATTCATCTGGACCTCTGTGAGTTCAAAGCCACACTGGGAACAGAGCCAGGTGTGGTGGCACATGCCTTTAATCCCAGCACTAGTTACCCATAGGTGTCTGGAGGTCTGTACGGACAGACAGGAAGTGATAGAGCTGGACAGAAAGAGGAAGTGATGTACCTGGGCAGAGAGAGGAAGTAAGATGGCAAGGCACAGAAAGGTATATAGGCATGAGTATACAGGAAGTATCTTCCTCTTGGGCTGAGGTTTTCCTAGCAGTAAGAACGTGTGGCTTGCTTGTTCTATTCCTCTGATCTTTCAGCATTCACCTCAATATCTTGCTCCAGATTTTTTAATAATATGACAGTTTAGCAATTCGTGTTACAGGAACTAATCCAAAACTCTGCACTTTAGCCTCAGACAGACCCTTCAGAACAAGGGCAAAAGGTATCCACTTCCTTCACCAACAAAAGTGATTTCTAGGCAATGTACTAAAATTCTTCCCTGAAACCTCTTGAGCCAGCTCCTTTCATTTCAAATTCTTATTAGCAGCATTGTCTTCCATGCTCCTATTAGGAGCGGTGCTTAAAGCATTCCACTGCTTTCCAAACCCAAAGTAACAAAGTCCATATTACTCCAAACAAAAGCATGGTCAGGCCTATCACGGCAATACTCCAGTCCCTGGTATCAACTTCTGTCTTAGTTTTTCATTTCTATGAAGAAACATCATGACCATTGCAATTCTTATAAAGGAAACATTTAATTGAGAGGGCTCACTTACAGTTTCAGAGGTTCAGTCCATTATCATCACCATGTTGTGCAGGCAGATACGGTGCTGGAGTTGAGACTGTTACATCTTGTAGGCAACAGAAAATCAACTGACACACTGGACGGTATCCTGAGTATATGGAACCTCAAAGCCTGCCCCTGCAGTGACACACTTCCTCCAGCAAGACTATACCGACTTCAAAAAAGCCATACTTCCTAATATTGCCACTCCATATGAGATTATCAGATTATGGGATTATAGGATTATGGGGGCCAATTACATTCAGTCTACCACAGTCATGTAGAATATATTTCTTCCAACTATTTTTAAATATGAATTATATGTTTTACTTTAGTGACAAGTAAGTGAATTTCCAAATGCCTTTTAAATATTTTTCCTTTATGATAATTTTCTGTGCCTTTTAGTTTTTATTGTCATCTACACAGACAGATATAGAGTTTCCTCAGAAAAAGAAATCCCAATGAAGATTGATCTACACAATTTTGGTTTGGGCACATGTCTATGGAAGATTATATTGATTGTTAATTGTGTCAGTTTATTGTGAGTAGCACCATTCCATAGGCAGGAAGCCCTGAACTGTATAAGAAAGAAGATTGCATATATGGTAGATTATATTTAGGTTTTAGAGAATTCTCCATACCTATTTCCAGGATGGCTGCAGCAATTTACAATTCCACCAATAGTGAATGAAGTTTCTTTTTTTCTATATATCTACCTTATAACACAGCTATACCACCTCTTAGTACATTCCCAAAGGACTTGACATGCTCCCCAACAGATACTTGTTCATCCAACTTTATTGCTGGTCTATTCACAATAGCTAGAAAATTGAAACAATCTATAAATGTCCTTTAACTGGTGAGTGAATAATGACAGAGAGGTCCATATACACTATGGAGTACTATTCAGATGTTAGTAAAAATGAAATCTGTGGGTAAATGGATGAAAATAAAAAAAATATATTGCATGAGGCAACCCAGATCCCAAAAGATAAATGCTTCATGATCTCCCATATCCATGGTTCCCAGCTCCAGGTCTTCCTATGTGAGTATATATTCTATAGTAATCACAGAAACACGGAAAGTATAGGAGGACAAGTGGGAGGTGCATAGGGGAATACAAGTGTTAGGAAGGAGGAAATGGGGGAAGAGGCATAAATATGGTCAGGGGAGAGAGAGAGAGAGAGAGAGAGAGAGAGAGAGAGAGAGAGAGAGAGAGAGAGAGAGCGCAACGGGGGAGGGGCATGCAGAGAGGGAAAGTGGACAGATAAATAGCACTAAGAATGTCTGAAAAAGTCTTTAAAACATTTTTTTATTTTTATGTAAAATTATATAACACATGCACATAGACACAAAGATATCTACACATATGTACATATATATTAAATAAATAACTTAAATAAAGCAATACTACTTGAGGACCATCTAACTTAATCCTAGCACCAGGCATGAGAAACATCTATTTGAGCTGTTGATCAGGAAATTCTAAGAGACTTCCCAAATAATATAAGCTATTGCTGTACTGTCCTTGGTTTCTAGAGGCTAAACATTAAGTCCTTATTGCTGAAGAAAGACACTATGTACTTGGGACATAGGACTATAAATATTTGAGCTGCATCTGACTGGAAAATTTGTTCCTGATATCTAGCTTTCATAATATCTGGAGATGCAATGTAAGCTCCCAAAGTGGAGAAGCAGTCAATATTTTTACCCAGCTAGGATGCCTATGAAACCACAGGGACCAGCACAACAAACTGTCTCTACAGGTGCAATAGTAGCTCTCGTATCTTTGCAGACTGAAGCCCGCTCAACAGAAAGGAAATCATGCCTAGTACTGTAAATCTAGTCAACTGCCTGGGGCTACAGATTTCATGGATCTTAAATGAGAACCTATTCCCACCAGGTCAAAAACCTAACATAATATAACTGCATTCTATATACTTATTCATATACCTACAAATGAACTTAACTCCACATTAATCTTAGGCTTCAATTTCACAGCTGTATACAATGGCTTCTAAGGGCCACTGTGTGGGAAATTCAAACCGTACATAGATTGCCTGAATTAAAAGGATCTCTGGAATCTTAATACACGCCTTCCTTTTATTTTTCTGCATTTATTTTATTGTATTTTACATTTTTTTCCAAGCCAAACTGTATCCAGCTTTATTAAAGATACTTTCCATAAACAATCATGGTTTTTCAGGCAGGACATGGGCAGACAGTCATTAACCGTATACAAGAACTTCCAAACTCCCCTCTTGTATAGACTACCAAAATCAGAAAGCCACTATAAAACCCCATGAGTCTTCATTTGATGCTTTGAAAAGGGGGAGAGCTTAGAGTGAGGGCTGACAGTTCACATTGAGGATGTTGTTTAACAACTTTTCACAAGCTGACCCTGACTTTCAGGAAACCAAACGAACACGGCAGAATTATCAATCTGAAGATCCACAATCTTTTATAAAAGGAACTCCTGCTCTTTTGAGGACACTCAATGATACCACTGCAAAGTCCAGATTGCCTGATAGACCGGCAAAACCAATTTTGGGGGTCAGGTTCCAACAGGTCTCTGGTTTGAAGAGAGTTAAGTCTATGTTGATGGTACAGGGGAGGAAGACACAGAAATGAATTTAGAGTTTCCCACACTAGGCCATGATGGTCACATATGTCAACACCAGGAGGTTTCTCCTGAGAGCCAAGAGGAGTCTTTCACTATTAGCAGGGAAAAATGTTTTTCAACATCAACCATCACCAATCCAGCTTGAGAGACATTTTCTTAGTAACACATGTTCCTTCCCCCAAAAAACAATGAAGTTAACAACATAGCTTAAAAAAAAGTAAAACAAAATTCTGCATTTTTATAAAACTTGATAAAAAATAGCATTTCAAACTGTACAGTCACCAGAAGCACACAGTTATCAAAAATGCACACATTTCACTTGGCATCTCCAGCACCTTCAGCTTTTTGTGCCTGGTCTGTTTTTGCGTCTCCATTCTCTGCAGGATTATTCGCATCATTCCTGGCATCAGCTTTCCCCTTCTTCCCTTTGGGGATCTTCTCTCCCTTCTTTGCAGGGGCCTTTTTAGGCTTGGGCTCTGGCTTTGGAGGAGCAGGTTTAGCAGACAACCTTGCAGATCTTCTCTGTGGCTCATCCTTCACCTTGGCTTTATCTCCTTTAGTATCCCCTTCAGCCTTTCTTTTGGGCACGGCGGTGGCGGGGGGACATCAGCACTGAACACTGGGATGCGGCAGTGCGCGGGTTTGGTCCGTCGGGGGTCGTTCTCGCTGCTTCTTCACACTGCTCTGTATTTTAATTTTTTTAATTATGTAATTTTTCTCTTTGTCTTCTTTCTTTCCATACTTCTCAGTAACTTTTTCATTTTGAATATTAAGTTGTCTTCTCTAATAAATGATGAAAGAGAATTTCTTAGGGACACAGTAAATTCACATTATAATTACTTAAAAGGAGTAAATGTGAAAATTAATAAATGAAGATGGAGAAATAGAATGAACTACTTCTTGACCTTATTGGCTCAAGCAGTCCTTGCAGTGTACATGAATGATGCTAGAAGCAGCCTTAAATAATTCTGGAGAGAAGCATAACTGGATAACTATTGTAAAAAACCTGAGATTTACTTTTTATTTTTATATGCATGCAATGCTCTTGGAGGCCAGAAGTGGATGTCAGATCCTCTGGAACTTTAGTTAATAAAAAGGTTGTGGTCTACATTGTGGGTGCTAGGAATTGAACCCAGGTTCTCTAGAAGAGCAGCCAGTGTTCAGAACCACTAAGCCAACTTTCCTGCCCCACATTTTTCTTTTCTTATACTTGGATTTCAATGCAATCTTGAAAACTTGAATGCACAGTTGTTACATACTGTGAACATTTAAAGAATGAGTTAGACTGTTGGTTTTTTTTTTTTTTTGGTTTTTTTTTGTTTTTTTGTTTTTTGTTTGTTTGTTTTTTTGTTTTTCGAGACAGGGTTTCTCCGTGTAGTTTTGGTGCCTAGATCTTGCTCTGTAGACCAGGCTGTCCTCGAACTCACAGAGATCCACCTGGCTCTGCCTCCCGAGTGCTGGGATTAAGGGTGTGCGCCACCGCCACCCCAAGTTAGACTGTTGTAATATAGATGCTATAATAAAAAAAAGTTCACTTGTGTGAAGCTCAGGGAAAACATCCAGGAATCTAAGCACCCCCATTAGTGAACACTGAACCAGCATATGATCAAGTTGCTTCACAGACCTAAAAAAAGAACTGATTGATTTGAACAACAATAAGGCACCAACAAATGTAAGCCAGATTGTATGAATTTCTGAAAAAAGGGATTTATTATTTTCATTTTCCTTTGGATTATGCATTTTATTATGCCATTGTGATACAACTATTATGCTATTTATAATTGAAAATATTTAAATCTATAAATTGAGATTTAAATATGTCAAACACACATGTAATTGTGTGTGTGTGTGTGTGTGTGTGTGTGTGTGTGTGTGTGTGTGTGTTGCTTTAGTTGAGATAAAACACAATGACCAAAAGCATGTTGAAGAAGAAAGAGTTGATTTGGTTTATATTTTCACATCATAGTCCATCATTGAAAGTCTAACACTGAAGAGAGTCAGGGCAGGAATTCAATCATGTCATGGGCCTAGAGGCACAAGACTGGATGCAGGGGCCATAGAGGAGTGCTGCTTACTGGCTTACTCCTCATAGCTTGTGCAAATATATAAGCTTTCTTATATAACTCAGGGCCACCAGCTTAGGGGTGGCAACCTCCACAATGGACTGGGTCCTTCTCCATCAATCATGAACTATGAAAGTTCTTGCCTACAGCCCAATCTTATGTAGACATTTTGCTAATTGAGGTTCCCTCTTCTCAGATGACTGTATGTTGTGTTAAGTGGACATAAACTTAGTCAGCACATATGTAAACTTTTGTTTCATGTAGCATCAACATACATGAGTAAACATATAAACTTCTGTGGATTAAAGTGATACTTAAACAATAAATACCTGATAGTAATAAGAGTGATGTTTTCTACATTATTATAGGCTTGTTCATAGCAGGAATCTTAACAGGTCTTAATAAAATTAAACCTGATGCCAGTTATTGGGGTGAATACTGGAAGATCACAGAAGCAGAAAAGGCCACAGCTACCTCACCTCACCAGTTCCTTAGCTGATTCTGTTTCCTCAGACTGGAAGCTTCTGAGTCTTCATCCAAATGGATCTCAGGTGAACTGTGCTGCTCAAAGCCTAAAAGCTTAACCAGCCAAATGTTTCTAGTTCCTGGTCTTTACACCTTATATACCTTTGTGCTTTCTGCCTTCACTCCCTGGGATTAAAGGCTCACTTTCTAGGATTAAAGGTGTGTGTCACCATGCCTGCCTGTTTCCAATGTGGCCTTGAATTACAGAGATCCAAAGGGATTTCTGTCTCTGGAATGCTAGGATTAAAGGTGTGAGTGCCACCATTTTCTAGCCTCTGTATCTAATGGCTGCTCTGTTCTTTGACCCCAGGTAAGTTTATTAGGGTGCACAATATTTTGGAGAACATAATACCATCACACTTGTTGATGCTTTCAGTAAATGTGGACTTTCAGCTATATGTCCTGTGAGATAGCCATCTCCTCTAGTTGGAGAAGAGAAAGTTACACTGGTCTAAGTCTCATGATTAAAAGTTAATTTGCCAGAGAACAGGAAATGCTAACATACTTTTATTTATCAGGCACAACATTTCAGGCACAAAGTTTATGTACATTATTTACTGTACAGCAAATTTCAGTTAATATTTGCAATAGCCACAACTTAGTTTAGAGTCTAGATTATAGTATATATATATATATATTTCTCAAGTTTATTGTTAAAACTGTCTACTATTATAAAATGTTTAATTGGGAAAAAAACCCTCATTCTCTGCCCCATGGAATTCAATCAAAATCCGAGTCTTGATGTTTTTTGATAATTTCAAATAATTAAAATAGAAAAAAAAGTAATTTTAATTGACTACTAGATTTCATAGTTAGGACATAAATTTTACAGTAGTAGTATTTTCTTGATGTCACAATACCTTATTCTGGCTGTTTGGATATGAATTGTTTTCTGACAATCTATTGATAAATTAATTATTGTCCTTCCTTCCAGATAACTTCACACAACAGAGAAATAAAATCATACAAATTATAAGAGACACTTTTAATTTGTGTAACAAAATAAGTTTAACATTTTCTAGTTATTTTCTTCCTTTCAGTGGAGATTTTTTTAAATTATAGGCACATTTGTCAATACATGATATTTTAATAAAAACATGAAGTAAAAAATCTAAAGTATCTACTATTTGATGATATAATAGACAAAATGGCATTGGTTCTTGAAATGCTAGGACCTAGATTCCAACAATATCTAATAGTGTCTGAACTTACACTACTCAAACAACAAGTGAATGATTTTATTGTGAATAAAAATAATTTAAATTGAATATATTCACTTATTCAACTGTGGTGGAGCCCAAGGAGATATCCCAAATCAGGATGCAATCCAATTAACTGTTAGTTCAAAGTACCATAATAATGATTAACTTCATAATAAAAGAGTAAATTGATCTTTAATAATGTTGATGTTTTTTCTTCCTCTATGCTTTCATGCATATGTACTTAATGAAATGGCAGGTTTCATTATATACATGCAAATTATTTTCATCTCCCCTTGACCTCTTTTGTCGCTGTTCCTGCTGACTTTCCATGTTCCTCTTAGTTTCTTTTTCGACTTTCCTGTGAGAAATCTGTAATCTTGTCTACAGAAGTTGTTTTGCCTAGCATAAGGATCTCTAATGATGTTCATTCTCCTACAGAGCACATGGTTCATTGTTTATGGCTGAATAATACTCCAGATTGTCATTATCTAATCAACTATTAATAGGCTATTTCCATGTCTTATCTCTGGTGAGTAGTGTAGCACTGAGCATGGGTATGAATTTATCTAGCAATTGATCCACATTTCTTCAGGAACATACCCAAGAGAAGTATAGCTAGATCTTATGGCAGCTCTATGTTTAGTTTTGAAATATATATATATATATATGGATCTTCCACTAGCTCCATCCCTACCAGCCACGGATAGATTGCCTCTCACTACTTCTTTGTCTCAGTCATCATCACCAGCATTTGTTGATATTTGTTTACTTGATCATGAATCCAAATGTACTTAAAATATGCCTTTTTTTCATGAATGGTAAAGATGTTCAATTTTTTTCTTCTTACATTTTTTGGCCATATTGTGTTTCTTTTTTTTAAACAGAACTATCTATTGGAATCATTTACTCATTTATTAACTTGGATATTCTTTCTTTTTTGAGGTAAAGGCAATTTTACTAAAATAATGTGTGGATGAATTGAGTTGTATTATATTATTATAAATTCATTTTATAATGTCTTTGGATAATAAATATAAATCTATTTGCATACATAACCTGGGAAACAGGATTCAAGAAATTCTTTTTAAGAAATATCAGTCTTGTCTTTTCTACCCATACAGCAGCTTTCTTTCTTTAATTAAATCAACATTACTCTATATTGAGATTAAAATTCAGTTTTTTGACTATTGTTTTCTTTGAAACACTATGTCCCAAACAAAATCAAGCCTTTTGTGTATTTAGTCTCATTACTACACCAACAACCTTCATGTCAACTCTACCTCATTGCTGACTCTGCGTATGTTTTCATTTTTTATTCACCCATAGGTAGTTTCCCTAGTCAACTTTCTTCAACAGTGTCTATCATATGGAAATCTTAAAAATGAATCAAATTTTTAAAATCAGTCAAGATTTGGGGTATGGAAATGGTAAATGCAGAATATTTTGGATTACAAATAAATACAAAGAACATTTTTTCCTATTTGCTCTTTGCCAAGTTCTTTATATAGTCAACATACTAACATTGCATCAGATGTATGTGCTGCTACTATTTATTGAGTAGATATACTTCATTGACCTTTGTTTAGGATTCTTTAAATTTGCGTGTCTATTTTCTTACACAACTGGTATCTACTTTCTTCTTTGCAAAAATATTTTGAAGTAATTTTACAAGCTGCTCATTTTGTGTTTTAGGAGTTTCTTATTCTTTTTGATTGTCAATCCTGTAATAGCCAAATGATTAGAAAATAGTCTTCTGCTTTTAAGTTTTCATTTCTTCATTGATTGCGTTCATTGAAAATTTTCCTTGATT